CCATTTCCTCTTGTAAGGCCTTCTGCCATTTTTCCTTAGCAGGTCCTGTTAGTGCTTCTTTAACACTTACGGGGTCTTCTTCATCGTGCTCTGGACTAACGATGAAGGTTGCTCCTTCAATTGAGAAGCGTCTCTTAGGGTTTTGTCTCTGTTACTTCTCCTAAGTGGGGTAGTTGCAGGACTTACTTCCTGTGACTGGGTTAAACCTTGTTGTGAAAATGGTTCAACCCTCCCACTCGGATCAGTAGACTGAGGAACACTTTGTTGTACCTCATTGCCATCATCCTCATAAAGACGGCTTGTTCGATCAATACTCCCTCTGCTAGGATATTCGGTTTCTATGAACGTTGCGTCCCTTGACTCTATCTCAGTCACTGAGCCGTCATCATTTTCACCAATGAAGACATACCCCTTAGAGTTCTCAGAGTATCTTATGAAGATACACTTTTTGCCCCTTGGTTCTAACTTGTCATATTTATGGGAAGAATCACGAATATAGGCCGCTGACCCCCATGGTCTTAGGATTTAGATCCGGTTTGCGGTTTGTCCATGATTCATAAGGGGTTGTTGTGACTGATTTAGAAGGCACTCGGTTAAGTATGAATGTGGCGGTTAGAAGAGCATCTCCCCAATATGAGGTTGGAAGCTCAGCTTGTGCCATCATTGATCTAACCATATCGAGGAGAGTTCTATTTCTCCTTTCAGCAACTCCGTTCTGTTGAGGAGTGCCAGGGATTGTTAGTTGCCTAACAATGCCCCTATCTTCACAGAGCTCCTTGAACTGATCAGAGAGGTATTCTCGGCCTCGGTCAGTTCTTAAGGCTTTGATTCTTGAACCTAGCTGATTTTCCACTAGATTGAGATATTTTCTAAAGCACTCTAATGCCTCAGATTTGTGGGAAATCAGGTAAGTATAGCCATATCGGGAAGAATCATCGATGAAGGTAATAAAATACCATGCTCCGTGACGTGCCCTAACACTCATTGGTCCGCAAATATCAGAGTGTACCAGTTCAAGAGGTTGGTTAGCCCTGGTTGCCTTTCCGAAAGGCTTCCTTGTACTCTTGCCAGCAAGGCAATGTTCACACAGAGACATTTCCTTTTTGGACACGTTTCCTAGCAAACCCTCTTTTGCTAGTTTGGTCATGCGTTCTTGACCAATATGTCCTAATCTAGCGTGCCATATATCGTAATTGACATCGGAAGAAAGCGCATAGCAAGAACTAGAAAAATTATCATTGAAATTTTCTAAAACAAAGAAACCATCCGAAACATAACCAGAAACTGAAAAATTGGTCCCATACGAAATGTCTACTGTGAAATCATGAAAAAAGACATTGAAATGAAATCTAACTAAGGAAATAACAGACACAAGATTTCGTCGGATTTCCGGAGCGTAGAGGACATTTTGCAGGACTAGGGTCTTTCCTCCATGCAGGGTCAGCTCACAAGTACCGATCCCTTTGACTTCTACTCTCGCGTTGTTCCCAACATAAAGCCATCTGCTTCTTGCTGGTAACCGACGAAATTCTGTGAAGTTCCCACGATCCTTGCTCACGTGGTCTGTGGCCCCTGAGTCTTTTTCTGCTCAGGGCAGTCCTTGGCATAATGTCCCTTTTGTTGGCAAGCATAGCATTTGATGGTTGCTATGTTCCGCTTCTTTGCAGGTTTCTTGCCTTTCTTGAAGGGACTCTTTCCCTTCTTCACTTTAGGGCCGCCTTTCTTATTTTGAGAGCCTTTGCTTCTCTTGGACTGGTTTTGGGAGGTTGTCCCTCCCTTTCCTTCAGTTAAATATGCCTTACTGACAGGCTTCACAGTTTCCATCCGATCATCCTCCAGTTGGAGGTGGCGAGCTACATCAGCAAAGGTTTTTATACTCTCATTATGAGTAATGGTGTGCTTCATGGTATCCCAACTTGCTGGGAGAGATCTCATGACAGCTTGAATCTGTTGCTCATCAGATAAAGCGCCTCCGGCTTCCTTAAGCTCCCTATTAAGTTCTGCATTGCCCTTAGGTGATGCCTTATGGGAGTGTTAGGACCCAGCTTGAAATTATCAAGTTTGACGGTGAGTCTCCTAAGCCTCGCAGCAGAGGTACCGTCAAATTCGGATTTCAGTGCTGCCCACATGGCAGAGGCTGAAGGGTGTGTTTCGAATTGCACCAACACATCGTCAGTCATGGCACTTAGCATGGTTATTCTGGCGATAGTGTCCCTTCTTTTCCAGGCCGCGTAGCCGTCCTGGTCCCTTCGCGATGCATTTGCCTCAGGCTCTGGAAGAAAAGTAGTCAACACATCAGTGACTTCTTGTTCTTCAAGGACATACGATATCTTACGACGCCACATGCTGTAATTGTCTCCGTTCAGCTTGTCACCTCCTACGAGGTCAGCTATAATGGACTTGATTCCTCTTTGAGACATCGTGCTATCACATAGACAACAATGCATTTTAGTATGGTATGCAATATATACACTTTTGTTCAAGTAGGTCATAGGTCGCCTGGGTAAGAGTCTCACCATTTTCATGATCAGGAGACAACTAGGTTGGCTCCCATCCCATTACTCCTGGTTAGTCTCTTACCTTTCTTACCTTTGACTTTCCTTGAACATATCCCCAATTTGGAGTTTTCCTCATGAAACTCCCACTCAAATAAAGCATTTGAAAAATAAAAAAAACTTTATTTATTGAAGCATGAATGTTTACAAAAAATTGGATAATTCCAAAAATGAAGTCTCAAGAGTAAACATTAAATGAAAAGAAATATAAATGTGAACAAAAACTCATTCGTTCATGATATATTTTATCATTGGTTCTCTCAAACTCTCTTTAACACCTTTCCAGCATCTACAGAGACATTGTTTAAAAAATGCTTCACTAAATATGTGTCCCCTCCTTGCCAGTTCCTCTCTGTACTGGATTGCAATATTTGAGAAAAAGAGTGCGTCTTGCTCATTGACAATTTGTTTAGCATAATAATTCAATTTTGAAAATAGGCACTTTTGATGCTTGTATTCATCAGCATGCTTTTCTGCTATCTTTTCTATTAAATTTATGTCCTTGGGTCTGCAGACTTCTTCCTCTTGTTGGTCAGGAACACATTTCCTTTTACCACTGCTCCCCTCAGGTACATTAGAGTTTACTTGTGATTGAGGCGCTTTTCTTTTATTTGTACTTTCGGCAGCATAATTATTTGAAGATTTCGGAGCATCAGAAAGTGGAGAATAAGTTGGATATTTTCCAAAAGAGGAGTTAGAATTTGAGTTTGAGTTGGCCATTTCCTAAACCCAAAAAGAACAAGTTAAGAAAAATATAAAAATAAATATTCAAAACATTTATTTGCTATTTTTCATACCCAAAAAGTCATAAAAAATCAGCACATAATATATTATTCATAGCTCATGATTTTAGAAATATTTCAGGTCAAACAGGGCTCAAAAATAGTCCCTCACGCGCCCTCACGCGCCCCAACAAGCAAATTTTTTTTTTTTTTTATTTAAAGAGCTAGGATCGCCCACTCTCGGGACCGGCGCGTGTCATACACGCGCCGCCTTTCCGGCCTCTCGCCGTCACGTGACCTGTCCTATTTGATTCCTCACGTCTCAAGGAGTCTATATATGTGCTTTTTATGACCAAAGGGTCCCTAGGTGGACCCCACGCGCCCACATGGCGCGTCCAAAAAAATTTCAGAAAAAACCTTTTTTTTTTATTTCAAAAAAAAAATTTTTTTTTTAATAATTTTTAAAAAAAAAAGGTCGGTCGGGTCGGTCTACCGACCCGACTTCCAGGGAGATCCGGGTCCACGGACCCGAAACGCAGCGTTTCACTTAAAGTGAAACGCTGCGTCCTGGCCAGCCCAAAACGACGCCGTTTTGGGCTGGTCAGGTCGTCCCTGACCTCCAGCCGGGTCGCCCCAGATCCGGCTGGAGCTCCGGCGGGTCCGTCGCGACCCGCCATTTTCGAACCGCCGTATCTTCCTCCTCCGAGCTCCGTTTTATGCATTTTAGGTGTCTATGGACTCGTATTTTCGTGCTCTACAACTCTATGGGTTTATTTTCTTTAAAAAACATCAATTTTAAAGACCCAAAAACAAGGTTCGAACGGCCGACGTTGGAAGCTCCAGAAAATAGACTTCGATCACGTTTTTAAATCTTACGGAGTAACAAGTAATGTTTTCGAACTTCACTTATATAAACGGAGTGTGTATTTGAGTTTAAAACACAAGCATATTCAGTTCGAATGGCATACGGCATATTCACGGTGCAGCGGAAAAAAAAAAGAGCATGTATATATATGCACACATATATTGAGAGCCTCAAGAACATCTCGGCTCTGATGCCAATGTTAGAAAATTGGAGAATGGATCGAAAACATACCGGGTCGGATCTCGGGTCGGGTCGGTCGGATCTCCTTAGCTCACGCTTAAGCTAGACTATAAAAGTCTGAGCTTTTAAGTGCACAGCAGAGCACCACTTTTGCAAGAAAGAAAATTAAGAGAGAGAGAGATAGTAGGAAAGCTCTACTACTGGAGTGATTTGAACTGATGGGGGGAAGCCTCTATTTATAGCTTTTGTCAGGGATATTTTGGATAGCATAAAAATATCCACTGAGCCCATCAGATAAAATCTGAGATAAGATATAATATATCCTTATCTCATAATATCATGATATTTTGAATTCAAATCCAGAATCAATCTTAATTAATTCTAAATATATATACTTAATATATATTTAATCTATACAATATAAATTAATTAATTTAATATAAATTAATTAGATTTATATCGTAACCGATTGGATATGATTCAGGATGTTTGACCAAGTCAAACATATCATGATATCGCTTGGATATTTGACTGATATATTCTCTTTATACCGGGTCAAATAATCCGGCCCATCAAGGGCGGATCCAAGCCCAAAAATCTAACAGTAACGGATCAAACTTCGAGGTCGCTCGAATACTCAAGTACAAAAACTATCGAAAGTTGTCGACCAGTGGTTGGTGACACGAACAGAGGCATAAGTTTGGTATTTTATAGGATACAAGCCACAACTGGTTTTGATATTTATAACATGCGTTTTATCGAACACATCAAAATACAACACCCCAAGAAATCCAGCAGCCAAAAGTGCCTAGTGCTCCTACTGAACATAAGATTCCCTACCACATCCTACAATATCTATACACGTGAATAACACCACCCACTAAAAATTGGTTACAATCATACAAGTCGTCTCAAGAGTCACATTAATAGTACAGCATTGGTGGAGACAGCCAACACAGGACCAAGTTATCACAGCGGAAACCAGAGTAAGCAACCATGGAAATACCACTTATCTCGAGGTTTTCTACAGTAACTAAACATATTCACCTCCAAAATGAGGTGAGATGGCAGTTAGACAAGGTTAAGACCGCCCGAAGCCTTCAGACTGGATTGGATGTTAGTCACGGCAAGCACAGTTGCTCTCAACACATCCAGACCAAGAAAACAGAGTGCAGGTGGTTCATTGCAAATTACTAGGTCCATCAGCCGCTGATATCTGGGTGGCTTGAGGGAAGGAGTGATATATAGGGTTGGATGAAGGTGCACTGCCCTTCCCTGTTTGCTCCAACAGGTGAACCAGAGACATAAATATCTCCATCCTTGTTACGTCCCGATTTGCCTGCAAAACTTACAGTTAGCTAAGTAGCCCAATGAATCAAAAAATACATAACATCAAACGCTGAAAAAAGAGATTACACAGACAAAGCCTCAGTTGGTTGTTCATCTGCGATCTTTATTTCATCATCAACGTGCATAAATTAGCAATGGGATGACAGACCTCAGTACTGACACTTTAGGGGAATTTTGTATACTTAACACGTTCGCATCAGCATTTGAGACAACACATTCAAAATCTCCATTTTTATATGACAACAATCAAGTATTATTCCAATATGTGCATGGGCTACCAAAGAATGAGGATATTTCTTCTATTTTTCATGAAATCCACCATTCTTTCAGGGTTGGCTTTTTCAACATTAGCGTTCAGGGTTGGCTTTTTCAACATTAGCGTAAAGTTATGAAAGTACTGGCATGCCGATTGCCAAACGCCTAGGAAGTAGGAATAACCACGACGTTTCCCCTCAGCATTTGCGTGCACTATGGATAATTCATTATCCAAAAATTCATCATCCAGTTCTGACCATAAGAAAATGCAAGTCCATTTCTAGGGCATTACCTCTACAGCAAAGCATGCCCAGATCTTGTCATTTCGGGTTTCCATCACCCCCTTCAAGATGGTCAACCCCAATCCTCTGATTAGGTCGGCTATTTCCAGAAAGAAACCTCGTTCTTCACAGAGCATCTGTATATATTAATCAACCATACAGATTACAGAGGTGATCCAGAAATACAATAGAGCCAGAAGAATTTTATAATAGATTATTATGGCACCAAACACTACCTCCACTAACATCTGCCGAGGGGGATTCAGATCCTCAACTATGATGGGGCAAACCATTGATTGTGAGCCAATCTCATATGCCCATGTAGCCCCGCCCTCAAAATTGTCCTTTAAGAGCAGTCCACCTTCCTTAGTCATGATCTGCATATTTTAGGAAGAAAGAACATCAATATCTTCATTTTCTCTATCCATAATTTGTGATAGCAAATAACATCAGCTCTTTATTCTTATTAACAGTGCTTCAGAGCATCAAGGAAACAAAGTTTTTATAGTATTAATAAGGGTTCTGAATGATATTTTATGTGAACCACTGTTTCACTGCATATTTTTATAATATATATATTGATGACAAGGGGACTACTCATACAAATCTGTTAATTATTTTAGATGTTTAATATATCAACACAAAGCCCATCAAGTGAAACCTCTTACGTGTCATGACTAGATAAGTTGCCTAACATACAAAGAAAAGAGATGCAAAGTGTCCACACCCCATACCTTAGATTCCCCTGTTTGTTTTAGCTTGTCAGCATGCTTTGTCACACTTTGCAAGAAAAGCATGTGCTTGATTGTACGTTCCAGAAGTGCATCTATGCTACACTGTGACATCATATTAAGAGATTTAAGAATAAGATCAGTATTATGAATATGATGTTTGGAGAAGAAAAAACTAGACAGAAAAGACAAGAGATTACTTTTGCTCCATTTGGCACAATTTCCCGTAGCTCTTTCACACGATCTTGAATCATTTGGCGATCTTTAGGTCGAGGTCTGGGGTTCTCCCCAGGCTTAAGCCTTTTACGATTTGATTTACAAACTTCATCAGGCCGCTTAGAGCATCCAGTTGAGACACTATTTTCACACATCGCATTTGTAGCATTCTCAACCCATGAGCTAAGTTGAGATCCACAGACGGAGGCAGTTTGAGAACACTTTCGAGCATCATCCCTACTACATCCAGACCTAAGAGAACTAGTTTCTGCAGCACCTGCTTTACTCGCATCTTTGGGAAGACCAGAAAATCCACCGTGAGGATGATCAGAAGTAACCTTCCTATGAGCAGGAGAGGGAACAGAAGCGTTACTAGTCCTAGTCAATGTTGTCCAGCAAGACATATCATCAGAATCCTGTTTCCCAAAAGACTTTGCCCTTGAGACCACGGCATCCAGGAGATGGTCATTGTCCCTCTCAGAGAAGACACCACTGTCTGAGATGGCTTCATTAATTGAATAAACACCAGCATTCATATCCTGCATGCTCAAACGCGGTGCCTTGTTTTGCAGAATTTCAGCACCAGTATTTGGTTCTTTGGCAAGCAACTTATTCCGGTCTTCATTCAGTAGTTTGTTTTTAAGATCTACACCTAAAACATCAAATAGGTCATCACTTGATGGAGGTAGAAGACAGGCAGGGATTTGATCACTCATAGACACCTGCCGCTCCACAAGATGAAGAGATGGGGCCTTAATGGCCTGCAGCAGATCATCATCCATTCTTTGGCCTGTTGTAGCCAATTTATGATGAGCATGTTTTAAATCTAAAGAAATATTGTTCTGATCAGAACCTTCTAGAGGCATTGGGCTAGTACCAGATTGAATGGTCAAATTAGGTGGAGAGTAGCCCCCTCGTTTTGTTAAACCATCATTTCGAAGCTCAGGCCCAGCTTTCCTGCTTTCACAAAAATCAACAGTGCCAGCTTTAGAAGGATTAGAAACAGAGCTGGCAATGAGATTTGGCCTCAAGAGTTTGCTCCTTCCACCATGAATCGATGAAGAACTAACAGTCGCCTGACTGTGATCAAGTACATAGCCTCCACTATTTTTCAGTTGAGACAATGTATTTGAAACAGTAATATTTGGATCGAAATAACCATGACTCCCACTGCCAGACAACTTTTCTTGTTCCATAAATTTCATGCTGCAGTCACCCAGACCTGATTGGCTCAAGTCAGTTAATTTATTGGATGCAGATCTAGCACTCAATGAGGGGGAATGTTGCTGCAGACATGAATCAAGATTCAAGGGCATCACCTCTGCCTTCATAACTAAATTCTCAGGCTGGACGTCAAAACATGGGTTCATCATAGGTATTGCTGAAGGTTCACAAAGATTATCACGATAATTGGATAATATCTGATTAATGTCAGGGGTTTGATCTGTCAATACAGAACCCTGATGGCTATTTACCTCCCCTTTACGAGGATGTGCTGGTTGACCAATAGGCCTTGAATTACTAGACAAACTGATTTCTTGGTTGAAGCCATAAGTTACTGAGGGTGCGGAATTGAAGGTAATTACTGGGGGATCAACAGACACAGGCACCCCAACCCTAACAGGATTACCAGATCTTTCCATAGAAGCTATTGCTGAAAAGTCTTCAGATGGAAGAGCACAAGGGACACGCCCCAATTGGATGGCAAAGCTCTTTACTTCATTCACTAATCCCATGTTCTCCATTATCTGTAGTGGAAAATATGGTCATATTAGTTGAGAACCTTGAAGTAACAGGGTAACAACTGACTTATTTGGATTCATGTTATCAGAACTCTCAAAGCTGGAGAATAGCTAACATAAACTCGTAAAGCTCATATGATAACAAAAAACTTTGCAAGATTAATGACAAAATTTGAAACAATGAACATTCAAATACCTAATCGAAACAAGTCATTCTTGACCCACAAACTCTACGACCAACATAAAATGCTTGAAGACTGGCATCACATGCATAAACGGTTAAACATCTTGAGAATAGGACTTACAAGCGAGAAAGAACCAAGTTGAACAACCCCATACGGAAGCACAGGAATAACTGCTACTGTCTGCAAATCACCATGATATGGGATTATAAGACACAGCAAAATAGAGTTTACAGCAAATTGCAGAGCATAAAGAAAGTCACAAAACCTGCATTCCAGCTGAAAACTGGAGATGGACCTCATTGTACACCTGAAAAGAACACATCAACGTATTAAACCATCAAAATGAAGTTAATGAGTTCACACATTCCAAGTCCTCCGAGCTTCCCAGTAAATTCTTCTCATGCAAGGGCCTTATGTCACTTAGTTTTTATAAGAGATTCATAAACATTCATGTGTCAACGAAGCTATAACTTAATTTTTCTCATGAATGTCCATTACACATCAGAGAGCAACGACAATGATTAAATTATACAGTGAAAAGCGTTTATTCACTCTCCGCAGGAATAAAACGTTGTTATTTAGCAACGGTGGAAGCAGATGATTAGTTTCATACCTCAAGCAGAGATGCATCTCTTCCAAAATTGTTCAAATGAATCCACTGATGGTTTCCTGTAAATGCTGCCCGCCCAATAATCCTGAATAACAATCAAAATAAAAACTTGAAATGCTGGGGACAGACAAGAAAATCACACCAACTATAGGAACCTCACAAATGATGAGGGGGCGAACACAGATGAAACCTACCCTTCACCCATGACATTGACCGAATTATTCACCATCATTTTGTTAATCAAAGTGCAGACTCTGTCCTCTTCTTGCGTTCCTAACTGAGAAGAATGAGAATCACAAGAACGCCAGAAGCCTTCCCCACTCACAAAAGGCAAATCAGAAATCTCTGTTCCAGCGATGCGCCTAGGTAATTGACATGGCAAGGGTTCATAGTAGAAATCTTCCCAAATTAACAGCCTGCCAAGCAAAAACATATTGGGTTAACTCAATAATAGATATTACAAAGAAAATTATAGAAGTCGAAGGTATAATAATCCGTCAACCTCTATCGCGGCTCTATTGTGAGTACGTACGTTAAATGCAAAAATATGACTCTTGATAAGCAACGATAATATACTCTGGCAAATTCCTCAAGGTTAAGGAGAACAAGAGCAGAAAACAGTGTTTCATGCACAATTTTTCTCAATAAAACTTAAAAATATAACCCTTGATGCATCGTATATCATCTTGACAAAGATAGACCAGCAGATTAATATCTTGTTAGCTGAAAAGAAAAGGGTGAGACTTTCATTAATGGAATAAGAGAATAAGACCGAATAGAATCAAAAGAAGAGGACAAATTCTGAATCAACAGATTCCTTCATACTTCACAGAAAAACAATCAAATAGTGGGTCTGTCAAACCCAATGCAAATATATATATTACTAAGATTCTTGAAGACAAAACAGAAGCTATCAAAGCATAAAATTCCAAAATAGGAACGAGAGCACAGCAGACTACAAATGAGATACAAGGAATTTTTCTCCACAACCGAACTGAGATGCATGTAAAATTCTTAAGACACAAGGAACAAATTAGTACGCAAGCAGATAAAAAGAGCGCGTTGAAAACTTTTTTTTGGAAACTTTCAACGATAACTCATCCCACTTACTGGGGATTATGGCGGCCGATCTTCCAGAAGACAGCATAAGACCATTGATTCCGACTGCAGAGAGTTTTGAGAACTTCTTTCAACAAAAAGCCCATCGTTTCAACGACAGGATTCAAAACGACGAAAAAGCTTCCGAACAAATGGTATGACAACAGAAAAAGGGGAGGTCAAAGCCGGCACCGATGCATTTCCCGAGGAGTCTGAGGCTGGGAGTTCTAACTGCCACGGCACGATCCTCTGCCCGCTTGTTTAGTCCTCAAGCCCCCACACCTCTTTCTCTCAGGATCCAAGTTCCCGGAGATCAGTATCCGGCAGGCCATCCTCCAGCAGAGGAAGTTGCCGACAGACAGAGAGAGAGATAAAAGGAAAGTAAAGAAAAAGAAGGAAGGAAAGTAAAAGCGAGAGAGGGAGAGAGCAAAAAATGAAAGGTGGGGTTTGAGAGCGAGGTACACTACACTATGCCACGAGCTTCAAGCTTGTAGAGAGCTATCATTTTGTCGAAGAAGTGAAGCTGGGAGGATGGAAAAACAGGCGGAAGTAAGAAGGACAGTGTGACGTAGGAAATCTGAAGCAGGGAGATGGATGTTGGAGAGGCAGGAGGAGTCTCAATTTGGAGCTGCCTCTGCCGAGCTATAATATTCTCTCTTCTTCTCTTCCTCAGTCTGCTCTTTGTGAAAAATAAATAAACAAGGGAGGAAGTGCGCCTCAGGAGAGAGAGGCAGTGGTGACCGGTGGCAGAGCTTGCTTTTGTCGGCTTGTGAAACAGTGTCCAGAGTTCGGAACGGTGCTCTGCTGGTCTTCACCTATTGCGGCTTCCCCTCCTGCTGACGTCATCCTTGTTGTTCCCCCCACTCATTTCCTTTTTTACCCTCAAGCCCCATAATCCGATAACATTATTTTCACGATGCTCTCACAATTAACTCCGTCACCTTTTTATTAAGGCAACGCCATCGCAATTTATGCTTTATTAAATATGAGATTTATAAATAAAAACTTGCACTGTTTATTAATCATCATCAATAATACAACATATATGGGTTTACAAGGCAACTTTTTTAAAGTGGGCAGTCATATTGCGCAAGCCTTAAAATTTCCAAGTCAAATTGCGACAGCACGAACAATATTATTATATGTTTTACACGTGGAGGTGAATTTTCAATCACAGTAGAAGATATTGAAATCAGCTAATATGTTTTCTGATCAGAGTGGATAATAATTTCAATTTAGTTTGCATTTTTACCGTGAATTTGTATTGTGTTTACTTTGGAATTATTCTGTATGCCATATATAAATTATTACTTTCGGTTTTAAATATAAAAATTAATTTAAGATATAAATTACACAACAAACTTACTTCTGTATTTAATACTCCTCCGGTCCTTAATATATGACATAATTGTTGAGTTAGTTTTGGTTCTAAATATAATACTTATTTTTCATATTTATCAATTTTCTCTAAATTATCCCTATAGATACTTTCTTAATCATAATCAAATAGAAGAGGAAGAGGGGATATTGAGAAAGATGATTATGCTATTTTAGAAAAAACATATCACATTTCTTATAATTAATTAACTTACCTAACTTTCTTAATCTAATCAAATTAGCTAAATGGGTCTTATATTAAGGACCGGAGGAGTACTATAATTTACATGGTTTGTGGTGTAAATTATGCAACAAACTTACTCTTATACTCCCTCCGGTTCAAAATATAAACTAAACTTTGTTAGAGAGGCTTGATTTTTTTATAAGATAACATTCATTTGTGTCTGAGCATTTAATGAATTTTTTCTAGTTTTATTCCTATTCATTCTTTTTCTTCTTTAATTTATTTATTGTATCTTTTATTTATTCTCTTCATTAATAAGGACATGTTTGAAAAAAATACAGTATATATATTTATTATTTTAAACTAATTTTAATTAGTTTTTTTATAAACATAAATAGATGAAATTTAGTTTATATTTTTAACCCGAAAAATATTCAGTATTTACGTACTCCGCCTCACATCATGCTTCCTCGGGCATTTACTAACTAAGAATGAAATTCATCTGACACCGTTAATTAATGAACCTAGTAGTTACGTGCTTTAATTAGATTCTTAGAATGACGGGCAGAGTATGATTTGCATGGTCTTAGGAGCTATGCATCGCTTGCCACCCGTAGTCATATGTTACTTGAATGATTTTTTTCTTGACGCGTCCATACCAATAATAATAACTTCAATGTTAATTCCATTTAAAATATAAGTTAAATTTTGTTGAAGAGGTTTTTTCCAAGAGGATAACATTTATTTTTATTTAGATATTTAATAATTTGTTTCTAATTTTATCCTCATATATTCTCTTTCATATTTGATTTATTTATTATATGTTTTACTTATTCTTTTTATTAATAAAGACATATTTTTAAAAAAAATACACGTCTTACATATTTATTGTTTTAAATTGATTTTAACTAGTTTTTGATAAATATAAATAGATAAAGTTTATTTATATTTTGAGCAAGAAGGAGCAACTTCTCACTTCTCATTATTCCAGGCATGCATTTCTCATTCAAAAAAAAAAACTAATGCATTTTAGGGGTGTTTAGGTTGATTTTTTATAGGTTAATAAATACGTGAGGATGCATGAAAGTATTTTTTAAGTGTTTTTTAGGGTTTTTAAACACGCTTGGTTTATATAATAAATTTAAAACTTGCTTAGAGCTACTCAATTTAACTACTTATAAGATTTTCACACAAGTTAACTGACACAAAACTTTTATTATATATAATCACATTATTATATTTTATAAGTCATGATTGTGATGGTGCTTTTAATTTTGAAACTTTCAGTCGCAATTCCAAACAATCTCTTATCGCTTCATCGATTTAAAATGTAATTGTTAATTTTGAATACGCACCCACAGACAGCTGGCATTTTCGTAGTTAATTAAGAGGGGTTTTGGACATGAAACCAGCATACGGTATAATTGCTATTCATCATGGGAATATTTGCCTCGCTTATCTAAAAACGTGCTGTCCCAAATGGTGGCTTTGTTATATTCCCAATTACCCATAAACTTGTCTTCAATTTCTCTTGTTCGTTGATAATGCTATGCTCTTCTGCTCATAGGAGCAGTATTATATGTTACTCCCTCCGTTCCTTATTATAAGAGACATTTGATGCTTATGGTATGTTCCTATATATAAGAGACACTTACAAGTTGTCTCTACTTTTTTGTATTGATTTACTATTTTATCCATATTTATTATCTCCAACTCACACTCTCTTTCCCTCCCACTTCTCTTTCTTTTAATAATTTAATTGTTCTCTCTCATGCTCTCTCTCCTTATTAATGAGGGCATTTTTGAAAAAAAAATTATACTTTTTACACATTAATTGTTCTTAACTAATTTTAACTGTTTTTTTTATCAACGTACTTCGGTTATTTGTCTCTTATAATAAAGAACGGAGGGAGTAATTAATTAATTAATTGCCAGCTTTGTTTTCAAGAATGTGCAACGACCCTCCCATAGTAGGTATAAATCCCCCCAGCATAGGATGACCTATATAGCCCCAGCATTTGAAGAAGCCAGACTGACCAATTTTACATTTTTTTTATAGGAAAATGGGTCACTTTTTGTCATCTTACTTCGCTTTCTTTCTCGGTTTTTTATGCCTTTATAGAATAGAACAAAAATCTTATTCTTTTCTTGTTCAGAGGACCAAAAAAAAAAAGTCCGAGATTCACACAGTGAAAAATTAAAGACGCCCGTAGGTTATATATTTATTTCCCTATACTAGCTGATGATAATGATGGTGATATATAGGAATAGACGAATAGCAAAAAATAATCGGATAGGGGCTTACTGTGTTAAATTCTTGGGGTGGCCCGCAGGGCAAATTTTGAATAAAGGAAGGGTAGGACTCGGGTTGGCTGACACGCCAGTCGTTGTCCCCGTCTTTTTCATTAAATTATATTTTAAGCTCAGAGAATTGTTTTGCTAATCAACCCCATTGATCCACTTTCCTGGGTGACTGCGGACCACTTGTCATTAATTAACAAGATTATCACAGTCATTTTTTTATGCCGACCAGGATTACCACTGTTAACTTTGTTATCATGGATAAAATTAAATATGACAGCCTACGCTGGGCTATGGCCAATTCAAAACAGGCTGGTCATTATGGTTTCAGAATGCCCCTTAAACATAGTAATTAATTAGCAAGAGGCTCAGAGGTCTGTCCTTTGACCCCTTTTTTGATGTAGTATTGTATTTCCTTTATTGATAATATAAGTTTTTGATTTCCCCGATTTGGTTTGGTTCAAGATACCTATAAGCTCAGTTTGATACTATTTTGAGTATTATTTAATATTTATGTTTGTGTAAGTAATTAATTCATCATAACTAACATGGTATTAGTTTTTGTTAATAATGCATGTAAAAATTTAATTTTACAGAGTCTTAATATTTAATATCATAACTATTTCTGAATGAACTAATATTACGCTGAGGGTAGACAGGAGGAGTATATCTACTATTTCACTCATTCACCCGTTCGGCGTAGGGTTAGTAAGCTTTTATTATGGGGAGTCGCCTTTGGAAATCAAAGATTCCCCCTATTCAAAGCTTCTTCTGGCTTCTGCACCCCCCAAAAAAAAAAAAAATCTTCCCCTAAGTTCCAAACAAGCTTTATCATCTACAACCGCATATCATACTCATAAATGCATAAAATACTGTAAACTTAAGTACTAATTCCTTTAGTTTTAATTTATTCTAATTTCTATTTTAGTTGAAACCATTTGAATAATTTATACAGGAATAAATCTCACTATTTTTATAACTAGACATGTTTCCCGTACCGTTCGGCTCATGATCAAATTATATATAAATCTTATATAATATATATTGATATATGCTGATTTTAAATGATAAAATAATTAATTCCACAAGGGTTGATCCATCTTAGAAATATTTCAGTAGTATATACGTACGTAGTACTGAAAACCTGTTTGATAGGGCTGTCACTGTGAAGCTCTCATTTCATGGATGACACCACAAGACGACGGGTTTTTAAAATGGAGAAGAGAGTAGAGTAGAGATTACTCAGCATGAGCTGCTAATTCCAATCCCCAGCACAAAAATAATGATCATCCCAGAAACCAGTCCCAGAGACTGGACGGGCGGAGAAGCAAGTAATCATCAACCGTTACTTCTTCTTCTTCCATTAATGGCCGCTAATCCATTTGCATCTGTGCTCTGATGAATGGATGCACAGGCGGTAATTCCGATTGGGAGATCAATTATGGATTTGAGATATGTGCATATGTATCAATCAAAGACGGAAGGCTTGTTTTGATTTCTCAATTTATCGATATGCCTGATCAAGTAAATCTAACCTTTTTAGGCGGGGTGGGGGACCATAAATAAATGGAGTATAAAAAGAACAAGGGTGATTTGGCCGTTCTGATTAATGCTGTCATAAATGATCACATCAGAAAAGGAAGGACAAGGATATATGTGTTTGTATATATATTTACATGAGGTCATCAGTCACTGTGTGATGCCCGCCCAATAATGCAGAATAATGAGAGAGAGGCTTAACGGAACCGGAAATGACCATAGTTACAAAATCTCAGGGAAACTGATTATTATTGCTGAGTTGGTATACAAAATTCATGAAAAGGTGGGAACAGTTTTGAATGATCA